GTCTCTTTTCAAATTTACACAGGCAAAAAAAAGATGTAAACTAAAAATATCACAGTAACTAGAGGCTGACATCTGAAATCCTCTTCAACTCAAGCATCCAAGTGAATGCAACAAATATTTACATTAAGAACTGAAATGTTGGGAAATAGTTCAAAAAATTTGATATGGCTAGATATTGAGAGGCATCTTCACACTGTCCAATGCATACTACATAGAATACATTATCTATTAGATATCTGCTTTCTGACTTCCTTCACAGAATCCCCGATGGGAACGTCCTTATGCCATGCCAGGCAGCATAAGCCCAGGAACCAGCAGGACAGAGAAGTAGACCCGAACTAGAACATTTCTGCCACTCTGTCCTGCCAAGCTGTGGGACTCTTCCTCTCTCCAACACCACTATCCTCCTCCCATCCTCACCACCTGGGGAGTCTGGGCACAATGAGAGGACTGAAGATGATTCACGTTCCTGAGTAAATGCACAGGAGCTCTAGAAGGCAAAGACTAAGAAACACAGACTAATGACATTAAATAGCAGTGCCACATTAGGGGCAAATTTTGATTTATCTCTTTTACTTTGAGATGATAAAGTACTCTTAAATCTGATGAATTTTAAGTTGTACCAATATTCAATCTAGCCAATTATGGCAAAACATAACTGCAACAACAGTAATAAAAAAACACATCTGAATAACCCTCACTGTCAGTTCATTGAACAAGCACCAAAGTCGCTGGATCGTTGTGAAACCCACTGTATGCTTTGGAGGGTGGATGTAGTTTGCAACATTTGTTCTCCCTAACTGTTGATCAGAAATCATTAACAAGATGTAATGCTATATACGACACTTATCTTGATAGCAAAGATGTCATTGCATAGAAAATTGTTGAAGTTTACTTATTAACACATGAACTAATTTTACATGATTCCTGAGCTCAAAATTAATCATTACTATCTCTGCAATTTTGTGTTTTATTTCTATCTTCTCATAATACTTATATACTGCATCACAGTTACTTGTGCTCATGTCTGTCACTGCCACTAAATCATAAACCCCTTGAGAGCTGGATCTAGGTCTTGTTCATCTTTGGGTTCCTTTCAGGGCCTAGAGTAGAGTTTTCTGAATACTAGATGAATAATAAATGTTGAATGAATGAACCAATTACCCAGAAAAACTAATGGCAACCCTACATACTATGTAGAATCTGTTCCAATTGACATTTGTATATTTGTTATCTATGGATCAAAGGAAATCAATCCATGATCCAAGAGTACTTCAGTATTTTAAATCTGTTGTCACAATTTTATTTCTCTCCATTCTATCCCCCAAACTCCTGTGAATGGCAAATTTGATTGTTGTCAATAACTTTTAAACAGAAACATACATTCATGTAATAAATGGCAAGTTAGTAAAAGATATAATGTAAATATTATACAATATTGAGTACCACAAGAAAGATATAACAAAATTTGTTCATTATCGTTCATTATCTTATACTTTACAGCATTTTTCTTTTTGTGAAAGTATAGTCTGTGGTAGTCTCTTTAAGAGAGGATCTAGGGTGGTAAACTTCCTGTCTGAAAGTTTCTATGTCGAAAAATGCCTTTATTTCACCTTCACGTTTGAATATTAGTTTGGCTAGGTACAGAAATTTCCATTAAAGTCCTTTTTTGTTGTGTTTTGTTTTCAGCATTAGAAGTTCTTGTTTCCAGAGTTGTTGATGAGAAGTCTGCTCTAAATCAGATTCTTGATTGTTAATCATTTTCTTCTGTGATAACTTTTGGGATTCTTTTATATATTTTGAGGTTGTAAAGATTTTCTACAATATTATTATACTGCTTAGCACACGGTAACCTCTTCATTCTGAAGTCTTATGTCTTTTTTGTTTTTCTTTTCTAAGAAATTCTTAGATATTATTTCTTTAACTATTGGTTCCCCTCCATTCTTTCTATTTCTCCTTCATTAACTCCTATTTGTTAGATATCGGTAAATCTAGGGCTATTCTTGATGATTCTTTTCTTTTAAACTTTCTATCTCTTCATCCTTTTATCTTATATTCTGGAAGAATTCCTTAGCCCTGGTCTTCTTAGCTCACTAATTTGCCCCTCCATTTTTTCATTCTGCTATTGAGCCATCTATTAAATTCTTAATGGCAACAATTACATTTTTTCATTTTCAAGATCTCTTGATTCTGTTTTATAAAAATCAAGATCCTGTTGATTCATGGATGTAATACCATCTTTTATATCTCTAAAGATATTAATCACTCTTCTTGTGAAGTTTAGTTCCCCCCGAGCTGTAAACGCTTCTTGTTCTTGTCTTTCTCAATGTTGGCAGTCCTCATATTTCTAGTCATTCCCACTGTGAGCCCATCCTTTCTAGACTCTCAGGTCTCTCTCAGCTTGGGCAGCCAGTCTTGGATGTGCGGCTGAAGCAGCTGTGGGTGCTTGTGCTCTTTTCTGTTGTCAGTGAGACTAGGGGGTGGGCAGAGCTGAAGACAGCAGCCGGTCTTGTGAGCTTACTTGGTCCCTCTTTATCCTGGACATCATCAGCTACCTGAGGCTCTTCTCTATTTCTCCATCCTAAAACTGACCTAAACGCTGGGTGGAGAAGGGAAGAAGGAGTGCACAGGGGTTCATAGAACAAACCGCTGCCACTACAACACTCTACCAAACCCTCACTGACTGTTCCTAGCTTCTCCTGCTCCAAGGTGCCACCACTTCTAGACATGGAGCCTGCACAGTGCTGCACCCATGTCTTGGTCTATCCTTTTCTCTTGCTCATCTCAACCCCAGCTTTCAGTCTCCCAGGAATTCCTTGAAGCCTCTAGTCCCTTGAGAAGTTTAATTCTTGTTCTTGGGTGTGGCTAGAGATTCAGATGTTTCTTCATATCAGTTCTATAATTCCCCAGACCTGGTGCAGTGGAGCATATACTTACTCAATCTGACATCTTGAAACCACCACATTCAGAGTCTTACCCTTAAACTGAGCCTTCTGAGCAACATACAGGATATACAGGAATTAGAGAAAACACTGGTACTTATTTTACACGGTGGTTATTTCCCTGTTTGCTCTTAGATTCAATTTCCACTTTCCCCCTGTTTGACTGTGTCACAGGAAACTACATTCCCTGACTCTTTTTTTTTTTTTGTGAGGAAGATCAGCTCTCAGCTAACATCCATGCCAATCCTCCTCTTTTTGCTGAGGAAGACGGGCTCTGAGCTAACATCTATTGCCAATCCTCCTCGTTTTTTCCCCCATTTTCTCCCCAAAGCCCCAGTAGATAGTTGTACGTCATAGTTGCACATCCTTCTAGTTGCTGTATGTGGGACGTCGCCTCAGCATGGCCTGACAAGCAGTGCGTCGGTGCGCGCCTGGGATCTGAACCCCGGGCAGCCAGTAGCGGAGCGCGCACACTTAACTGCTAAGCCACGGGGCCGGCCTCTCCCTGACTCTTTTAACAATTTTCTTCTGGGTAAGTTCAACCAATGGGACACACTAGTGGACGATTGGAAGGGGAGATGAGGGAGAAGCTAGGGATCCCCGCCGAGATGATGTCTCAAATAGTGCCTGTCTTCAGTGGCCCGGGCCTCTATCAAGCAGCACTCATCACAGTCTAGCTCCTGCTGGTCAGCACCAGTCTTAGGCTCTGGTAACAAAACCTTCTACTGATGTCCCTCCAGTCCTGGAGATGTAGGAGCTCCTGTTGTTCCTGATCTCTGGGGTGCTGCATCACTCCTGCAGTACCATCGCCTATACAATTAATTTCCTATATTAAATTCATTTTGTTGAGGGGCCTAAAGTGGTTTTGTTTTCCCTGCTGGACCCTGACTTAAAGATCAATATGCTGAAGAGACATCTTCAAAAATAATAATTGGTAATTCCTTTCTTTGAGAGGAAGGGAGCACCATCGTGAAGGAATTCTCAACTTGGGTTTCTCAATATCTAAGATGTCCCAAGTTATTTCAAGGAGTGACATGAAATTCTCTGAAATGTGAGTTTTGGCAATGTATTTCACCTTAAATGCATATATGCCACAAAGCAGTTTTGTAAGGAAAGCCTTAAGGCCCTATTATATTATTAAACATAGTGTTTTAGAAGCAGGAAATGCTATCCTAGAGGAGTGAGAGCTTTGAGAATAACAGAAACCTTGCTGAAGGCTTCTCAAGCTGTAGACCTACCTCCAGGGGCAGGCATGAAATAGTTTAAAGAAAATACTTTTATCATCTCTAGCATTTACTATTTTCTCTGTTGAGAGGGGCTTAGGTAAAATGACAGTATACCTTTAGAAAAGTCTCGCTTGGCTCTCTTTCTTATTTGGAAATGGAGAATACCAATGTCTGAGAAGCCTAGTCCGTTATTATCACTCCATAAATGCTTAATAAGCGGCACAGAAACAACAAGACAGCCCACCACTGTGGCTCATGTTCAGAGAGAGAATGAGAGCCACATTGAGCCACTGATACGCCATATGGCTGCAAATCTAAAGGCTCTCAAAGATGCCGCACTTCTATAAAGCTCTGAATACCTGCTTTCATTCCCATTTCGAGTGTTTGAACTGTAATATACGGGCCATCTATTTATTAGAGAGAGCTTACTTTGGCATGGGATAAATTGGTGCTTGCAGCAAGATGCTGTTTAACACAAAGGACGTTTCTTGAATTCCTTTCAGATCTGAGACCTACAGCTCAAGAGTGTTTGGTGTATATGTTTTAAAATTGCATGACTATTATACAATCCCTTTTCTTCAGCTGGCATGAGAAGGATATTCCCATCCCCTCTATGCTCTGTTCTTTACTTCCTCAAAGCTGAGGCGGCAAAAACACTGCCAGCCTTATCCAGCTTTTCGTGGAAAGCCGCCACTCTTAACTGGCGCCTAAATGCAATTTCACGCTGTCCCAGGAGACCTTCATGCTTTGAGGTGGATTCATAACATTAGGGCCAACAAAGAAGTTAACACACACTTTCATTGTTAAAGGAAAAGAAAAAAAGTCTGCTGGCTTACTGAAGTCGCTCTGCTTCTGTGAGTGCCTCTGTCCTCTGCTCCCCAGTGACAATGGCCAGTTCATCCTTCAGTTCCTGGATTTCCTTTTGTAGGTGTATAATCATCTACAAATGGTAAGGCAGGAGAGCAAATGTCAACTCATTAAGGGAAACTTGGTGACAGAGAACATGCATCTTTTGAAATTATGAACTATTTTAAGGATACAAAAATGTATAGAGAATGATATAAAAGGCACTCCTGTACCTACCACCTAGCTTTGTTAAATCTTAATATTTTCTCAAAATAGTTCTAGAATTTTTTTTAACAAATGAAACATTACTGATGTAACTGGGGCCTCTTATTCCTATTCCCCTCTGTCCTTCCTGGGGGGAACACAATACTGCATTTAGTGGGTAGCATTTCCCTGCATGTTTTCATACATTCTCTCCACATGTATGGATGTAACTGTAAATATTGTACAGTATCATTTTGCATGCCTTAAACTTTACGCAAATGTTACTGTACTGCATGTAATTGCAACTTGGTTTTTTTCCCCACGTTATGTTTTTGAGGTTATTTATATTGCTTCATGTGGCTCTAGTTCATTAATTTTCATGGATATATAGTATTTCAGTAAAGGAATATATCACAGTTTGTTTAGGTCTCCTGTTGATGGACATTTAGGATTTTTACTTTTGCTATTACAAACAGTGCTGCTGTGGACATTATAAATCTCTGGGCACATGTGTGAGAGTTTCTTTACAGTGTGCATTTACAATAGAATTGCATGGTTGGGGGCCGGCGCTGTGGCTTAGCGGTTAAGTGCACACACTCCGCTACTGGTGGCCCGGGTTCGGATCCTGGGTGCGCACCTACGCACTGCTTCTCTGGCCATGCTGAGACGGCATCCCACACACACCAACTAGAAGGATGTGCAACTATGACATACAACTATCTACTGGGGCTTTAGAGAAAAAAAAGGAGAAGGATTGGCAATAGATGTTAGCTCAGAACCGGTCTTCCTCAGCAAAAAGAGGGGGATTAGCACGGATGTTACCTCAGGGCTGATCTTCCTTACATTAAAAAAAAAAAATAAGAATTGCATGATTGTAGAGTATGTGCATCTCCCTTTTACTATTTATTGCTAAATTGCTCTTCAGAGGAGCTGTATAAATTTACATTTTCATCAGCTATATATATAAGTTCCTGTTTCCCCACATTTTTGTCACTCTGTATGTAGTATTGACAGGCACTTTAATTTTGCCAATCTGGTAGGTGTAAAGCGGTATCTCAGTTTGTTCTAATTTGCATTTTCAGGATTATTGGTGAGGTTGATCATCTTGGTATACGTATATTGGCTGTTTGGGTTTCCTCTTCTGTGAATTATTTATTTACATTCTTGCCCATGTTTCAGTTGAACTGTTTTTCTTTTCCTTATTGATTTTCAGGCTTCTTTATATATTCTAGACGTGAATTCTTTGTTAGTTTTATGCAATGCACAGATTTTCTCCCAAAATATGTCATGTTTTTCACTTTGTGGTGTTCTTTCTGTTAAATGAAAGTTTTACATTTCAATATAATTTCATTATCAACTTCTGTTATGAGTTGTATTTTTGTGTCTTAAAAAAAAAATCTATTTTACCTAAAACCATAGTAATGTTTTCCTATATGTTCTTATAAAAGTTTTAAAGCTTTGCTTTTCACATTCAGGTTGATTTTATTTTGTATAAAGTATGAGATATAGATCTAATTTTAATTTATTTTTTATACAGCTAACCTTGCAAGATTTGCTATTATAATTCAAACACGTTTCCACATATAAATGTGTCTTTTTCTGGGCTATTGGTTAAACATATTTGTCTACTTGACTATATGTATGGCAATACTACACTGTTTTAATTACCATATTTTAAGAAATTTTGGCATCTAGATAGAACAAGCCCCCTTCATCTTGTTTTTTTCCAAAATAGACTTGGCTATTCTTGGTCCTTTGCTCTTTCATGTAAATTTTAGACCCAGCTTGTAAAATTCTACCAAAGACCCTTCTCAAATTTTAACTGGAAATAAATTTGATTAAAAGGTTAATTTGGTAAGACATCAAATTAATGACATTGAATCATCACATCCATGAACATGGTATGGCTTTCCACTGATTCTTTTCAATAAAGATTTATAATTTCCTCTATAAATATCTTATATGTCTTTAATTAGATTTTGTTCCTAGAATTTTAAAGTTTTTATTACTATTATAAACGGAATTTTTGTAAAATTGCATTTTCTAATTGTTGGCTTTTGATGTATAGGAAGGCAATTCATTTTTATATATGGATTATGTACCAAATAACTTTCTGAACATTGTTTTGGTTCTGTTTATCATTAAATATTCTTGGATATTCTATATAAGCAATCAAATTCTAAGTAATGGCAGATGTTTTTCTTCTTTTCAAATCCTCATACCTTCCAAAAAAATTGTCTCTGTCCTGGCAAGGACTTCCAAGTACAGTGCTTAAGACATTCTTGTCTTATTCCTTCTAGCATTTCCCTTTTAAAATGTTTGCTGTAGTTTTGCGTTGATACCCTTAATCACTTTAAGGATGTTCACTTATATTCATAGTTTGATGAGTCTTTTCAAACTATGGATGAATGTTTAATGTTATCAAATACTTTTTCTGCATCTAGTGATGTAATCATATAATTTTTGTCTTTTAAACTGTAAATGTAATGAATCACCTTAATTCATGTGATTTTTTTTTAGTATGAACTACTTCAGATATAAAAAAAGTATAAAGAATACTTTGTACCCACTACTTAGCTTAAGTGAACACCAACGTACCTACCTCTTAGCTTAAGAAATCAAACGTTACAGACCCTTTTGAAGCCCTCACCCCTGTAGAGCCTTCCCTAAATGAATTCCGCATTACCATTACCCTGAATTTGGTGTTTATTTTTCCCGTGGCTTTTTTTCTTTTACTATACATTAGTATGTTTTCTAATGATAGATTATCCTTAAATTCCTGAAGTAAACCGAACTAGTCATGATACCACATATCATATTAATGATCATATGATCATAATGCAAAATTCCTAAAACAAAAATTAGCAGGCTGAATCCAACTTTTATTCTTCCTTCAGTATTTGGTAAATTAAAAAAAAAAAAAACATTGAGGGGCCTGTCCAGTGGCGTAGTGGTTAAGTTCGTGCACTCTGCTTCAGTGGCCCAGGGTTCTCAGGTTCAGATCCCAGGGTGGACTGAGGCACTGCTTGTGAAGCCATGCTGTGGTGGCGTCCCATGTAAAGTGGAGGAAGATGGGCATGGATGTTAGCCCAGGGCCAGTCTTCCTCAGCAAAAGGAGGAGGATTGGCAAGGGATGTTAGCTCAGGGCCGATCTTCCTCACAAAAAACCAAACCAAAACAAAAACATGGAGTCTGGTCCTTCATTTCTTCCTTCTTTCCTTCCTTCTCTCCTTTCTCTCCCTGTCTCCTTCCTTCCTTCTTTCCTTCCTTTCTTTCTCTCTCTTCCTCCTTCCTTCTGTTCCTCCCTCTGTTCCTCTGTCCCTGCCTCCCTCTTTCTTTTCTTTTCTTTTCTCTCTCTCCTTTTGGTAGCTTTGTTATTATTGAGTCAATTTATTTATTAGTTGTAGACATATTAATGTTTTAAAATTCTTCTTGCCTTAGTTTCAGTGTTATGTTTTTCTAGGAAATTGTCCATTTTGTTTAAGTTTTCAAAGTTATTGCCATAAAGTCATTCAAAGCATGTTATTATTATTTTAAAATATCTACTGTACCTATATTATTGTATCAGTTTGTGCCTTTTTTTTTATTCTTTTCTTCCTTAATCTTTCCAGAGATTTTTTTCCTTTTATTAATCTGTTAAAAATCAACTTCAGGTTTTGTTGTTTCTCTTCACTGGCTTTTGTTTTCACTCATTTTTATACTTTTTAATTTCTGTTTTCCTACTTTTGTAGATTTACTTTATTGTTCGTCTTCTAATTTGGCTTAGGGGTTACTAGACCAAGGGAGTGGTGTAAATTTGAACTGCAAACCCATGTGAGCCTTAGGATTTCAAAGTTTTAGAGAAACCACATTTTGTTCTACCTAGAGTCCACTGGGCAGACAAGCTTCCCAGCATCTCCCTATGCCAGTGGACAGATTTTATTTTTCCTTTCTGGTTCACTCTTTTACTGGTTTTATGTTGAGGAGGGGAGAGGATGTCTGAGGTTCATCATCCACCTCCCAAGGTGCCAGGTCTGTGACTTACACGCCTTTGTTGCAACCCCCTTCACCCCTCCACTCTAGGACAACTGCAGGCTCAGCTTTGTTTCTAGGCCCTGGAGAATTCCCTTACTTCCTTCAACCTCAGACATATATTTCAAAAGGTGCTTGTTAAATTTTGTATAGGTGCGTTTCAGATTACCTGTACCACATCAACAGGACCAGAAGTTCCAAAGAACATGATACTGAGTATTTTAAATGTGTCAGTGCTCCTAGAATTTCATTTAAATGCACAGGATTGAGTAGGTTTTGGTTGTTTACTTGTTTTCAAAAACATTCTTAGAATCATCAAGCTATGCAGAATGAAAATCCTTAGACAGAAACTGGGTCATTCATTTGTATCTTCCCTCTACTAAATTAATATTGATGCCATATTTTCTATTTGTACTAAGGCTTTCAAAGTCAAATCTAACAACCAAATTATCTTCTGTCTTATTGAACAGAAATCTCAGAACTAAGCCAACTTTTCATGATTTTGAGATTATTACAGTCATATCTCCCACCAAGTTACTGCAGAAACTTTGAGATAAGAGCCATTCTTAGAAGATTTTGGCCGATGCCCACCCAGTCACCACAGACTGGCCTGTTGACAGTTCTGTTATCACCTTGTCTCTCTGAGGTACCAACACTTGTAAAGAAAGCAAGTCACACCCTTTGTGATCCTGATCTTACAGGGCTGGCTCCATATTTGCCCTGAAATTTTGAGAGTGAGATATAGGACATCCCATCCAAGTTGTGTTGTGGGTGGTTCTGAGGACAAATTTTCAATTGTCACTCGTGCTTCAGAAAAGCTCTGCATGTAAAATAATAAACAGTAATGTCAGTTTTTAGAAGCAATTATAAAAGAGACCAGGAGACAACACTTGTCAATTACTGGATTATTCTGCAATGGGAAGACTTTAACATTTGTTCAATCATCAGCTATTAGCTTTTGACGCCTGATTTCTTTAATTCTCTCACTGATCTACATCAAACACATGATAACGTTGACCTTTCTTCAAATTCCTCAAGTTCCTTCAAAGAAAAGTCTCTTTAGCCAAATTTAAAGGAAAAACCCTCCAATGCCTAATATGTTTATTTTCTTTCAATTATGAACTAATTTTTGTCTTCAAGCTAATTGCCTTACTGTCTTCCTCATTCTGTGCAGTAATGTTACAGGGCTGCTAGCAGGGTAGGGACAGCAGAAGAATTCATCCTAGGAGCTCAATTCCACTTGACTCATGCATTTGAATTCCGCCGTCTCCTTTCTTCAGTGGGGGAACTGTGTGATGCTGGTATCTGACCAGGGCCTGTTCTGGAAATAGATCTGCCTCACCCATTGGTTTCTCCAGAAGAGAATTCCATCAGGGGAGCTCAAACTCCCTGAGGCAAGCAGGATAAAACAGCCCCATTATTCTTTTTTCCTCCTTTTCCTCTACTCTTCAATAGAATGATTTCAGGAGAGGATGGGCCAACAATCAAGAGGAAGTGATTAATATGGATAACAGTGAATTTGAGATTTTTTTTTTTTTGGAATTTGAGAAATTTGTAAATGAAGCACTGTTGGTAAGATTTCACATCTTTTTTATAATGCATACTACTAAGTTTACACCAGCTTATTATCTAGATAAATTAAAAAAAGCTGAGTGATTTGAAAAGTAATATAATCTTAATTTTAGAATTTTAAAATATTGAAATATTTTATTTCAACATTTTCAGTATTGGCATGAGTTGATTCCAAATCACATTTCATTTATAAAAGACTAACAGAATAGAGAAAAGAAAAAATATCTGCATTTTAATGAGTAGCTAAATCATATAACCTGCAAATATTTATGCTTTAAAAAAGCACTTTGACAAAGCAGAATTCATTGTTATAAAATTAGAAGCTTGGTCATTTTTCCACGGATCATACCAATTATTATTTTTTAAAAATCTCTAGAGGGCCAGCCCCGACGGCCTGGTGGTTAAAGTTTGGTGCACTCTGCTTTGGTGGCCCAGGTCCAGTTCCCAGGCGCAGAACTACACCACTCTTCTGTCAGTGGCCATTCTGTGGTGGCAGCTCACATAAACAAAAAAGAGGAAGATCGGCAACAGATGTTAGCTCTGGGTGAATCTTCTTCAGCAAAAAAAAAAAGAAAATCTCTAGAATAAGTACCAGGACAGGTTTGTAAAATATGGTTCTATTTAATAACCGGACTTCTTTTTCTCTATAAGCTTTTATAAAAGATGGTCTATTATTAGTGCCTCTAGAAAGTTAAACTGCTGCTCTTTGAAAGGCTATGACCTACATAGAGGTAGAACCGTGTAGGATTCTGCCGTATGCATCCTCAGGACTCACTGCCCATCTTAGCAGTGAGGGCACGGGGACTGCAGATAGAACACAGGCCCTGAGCGACTGTCCATGTCTGAATCCTGGCTCTGCCACTTGTTAGCACTGGGACTCTGAGCAAGCTAGTTAACATTTCTGTGCCTCAGTTTTGTCATCTATAAGATGGAGATAGAGACGGCATCTACTCATAAGGTCATTGTGAGCATTTAATTAGTTAATATGTTTCCAGCACTTAGAACATTGCCTGAAACGAGTAAGTTCCCCCCAAATTTTAGCTAATATTTGATATACTTTGATTTGTCTTTAAACATTGTCAGTTAAAAGTTGCTTACCAATCTGGGATCAACTTCTTCATTAAGAACAGCTTCATTCTTTATGAGTGCCACTCGTTGTGCAAATCTGCAGGTAGATATAGACTCCTAAGAAAGTAAAGTAACTCCTTAAAATGTTATGGCATAGAGAGACAAAACTTAATTTTTGTTCACAGGAAAAAGATGCATACCTAAAGAGTGATGCGTATAAAACACACATTCAAATGAAGAAGCTTTGCTCTAGAACATTATTTTTTATTAAAATTTTGTTTGGGCTTAATGAAATGACCAATGCTAAAAGTATGGGAGATCCTGAGACCCTAAGTGGCAACTGATATATGTTTTCAACTATTAATCTGTTAAACCAGAACCACATATACAAATCATAATCATGGCAGGTACCAAAATCCACAAATGTGAAAGACTACAAAATAAATATTTATAACAGACCAAAAAGAGAAGCTTTTCAAGGCATTTTACAATGCACTTGGGGCTTGGCCTTATTTTGACAGGCACCCTGCTGCTTCCTATTTTCCTCTTTTGGAGAAAGTCTGGATCCCAAACATTAATCTGAAATGCACAAAACATCAGCTGGCTCTAAAGCAACCCAAGAAAGCTATCTGGCAGCCATTCCCTGCCAAAGTACCCTGGGTGCTGCGCCCAGTGACATGTCTAGGAACACATCTTGGAGATATCTCCAAGGTACCCTAGTAATAAAGAGCAAAACCAAGCAGGAAAAGCCAAGGAAACCCATAGCAGGCCCTCTAAAGTTTGTATAGGAGGCTTCTTCAAACCATCCTGTGTTACGTGAAGTCAGTTCTCCAATGGGATAATTATAACGTTGGTAAATAACCCAAAGCTGTGAACTCTGTAGGGTATCTACCTCTGAAGGCATACCCTAACCCAGCTGAAAAGATGGAAACCCACCCAGGGCCCTCAACCATCTCACAAACTAGCAATAAAAACTCAAACTGAGATCTCCAGAAAGAAGAACCAACATACATAGATATTCCTTTTCTCTAAAGAGAGTGTTGCAATCATGGTCGTCATGCAGTTCCCTCCCAAGCTGTCCCTTAGGACACTGGTCATCATGGAGTTCCTGTAGGGAATGTGCGAACGGTGTTTTTCTGAAAGGGCAATGATAACCTGTGGTAAAGTAGAAAAATAATGGCATTAGCTTAGCAGAAAAGGCACATCTGACAAACAACTGAGCTGCAACTGTAATAAAAATACAAAAGGAAATAATAACTAAACGCAGGGTGACACTCAAAACTTGAGCTCAGAATAAAATATCTTAACAATATTCAGTACAATAATGGTGAAGATGGAATGAAGTAAATGTAGCAAAAACATACCATGATGAACCCTCTAAGTTTTGGACAGATGATATAACTTGTACAGAATTGGATACATTATGACTCTGTTTGCAGCCACTGGAAAATTCATATAAAAATTCAAGAGTAAATCATGCCAGATTTTTAAAATCCTACCAAAAGTGGTCTGTATGCCCCATCTTCAAGGTAGAAGAGGCAGAACAGTAAATAACAACAAGGAAATGCAGTATAGGGGTTAGTGGTGGAGACCCCAGATTTGGTGCCACAGTGTCCAGGCCCAAATTCTAGCCTTACTAGGGCATGCCACTCAACATCTCTGCCTCAGTCTCCTCATCTGTAAAATAGGAAAAAAATAGTACCTACCTCATAGGTAGTTGGGGGGATTAAAAGAGTTAAAATGTGCAAATTACTTTGGGGCATAGTACCTAGCGCATAATAAGTGCTGTATACATGTTTTCTATTATTGTAAGTGATAGGGGAAGTTTACTCTGGTTCACCTAAGGCTTGCTCATCTTACTCCTCATGAGTGTCTTAGGTACTTAAGGAAGGTACTAGATAGAGGGATGGTAGATGGATGAAAGGCTGCTGTAGGGTTGTCCCCAAAGGGAGCCACCAGGGGTTCAGGGTTTTCCTGGGAAGATTAATCTAGTGCTAGGATGTCCTTGCAAAGCATCAGGAATGTCACCCACAGATGTGACTTCAGGGGCATCACGAGGCCCTGGGTCCTGAAAATACCTCTGCCAACACCCGCCATTGTTCTAGTCTTCCCTCCAACAAGGTGTGTAATTCTCATCATCAAAACTTCTTCTACCACTTTAGTTTACAAAACAAGATAGGAGCACTATTTTCTGAAGGCCCTTTTGAGCAAAAGCATACAACTATACCACTGGTCTTGCTTTAAACTCATATCCACAGATTTTACTAAAAACCAGAAATCCTATAATATTTCTTTCAAATATCACTTTTCCATTCTCTGAAATGAGGCCTTTACACCTTATCCTTTTGTTTAAAACCTCTATCCAGTCTCCTCTCCCTGCCTTCAGTCCGAGCTGATGGCCACACACCCATCTACTAGATGCAAGCAGCCTGACCAGAACTATCTCATGCCTCATCACTAAACCCCTCGAACATTCTACCCTTCCTCCTGTTACCGTCCTGCTCCTGTCTAAGGCCAACACTCCATCCTCTCCCTCTTCTCCTCTCATCTACTTTGCTCTTATAATTAACCCCTCTCTCTTCTCATCAATTTCTCTCTTCCACCTGGATCATTCTCATCCTGCATGTGCACTACAGTACTAAACTAAGATGGCTCTTTCCAAGGTCATCCGCAACCCTCATGGAATCAAAAGCATCGATTGCCATCTTAGTAGATTTCTGAGTTAAGTAAGCATTCAGTACAGGTACCCATTGCCTCTTTTAGGATACACTTTATTCACTTGGTAATCATGACACCACACTTTGCTGATTTTCATCTTTCTTCAAAAACTAGTTAATGAATGCTTCCTTTTCTTCTTCCCAAATTAGAAATATTGGAGTGCTCCAGGGCTCAGTCCTTGATCCTCTTCGTCCTTGTCCTTATCTACACTCTCTCCCTATGTAATCTCATCCAATTCCTTGGTTTTAAATACATCTATATCCTGATGTCTCCCCAGTTTATATCATCAGCCTCAACCTTTTCCTTGGGCTTCTATTCCTGTGGCAACTCTACATTTCCACCTGGATGTCTGTTCTTGACTTTCTCTCCCTTCTACCTCCAAACTGAATTCTTTCCCAGGCTTTACCCACCATTATTAACAGCATCACCATCCACCTAGTGGCTCAGTCCAAAACCCTAGGCATCATTCTTGATTTTTCATCACAATCATCCAATCCACCAGCAGTTTCTATTAGTTTTACCTACCAAACATACCCAGAATGGATCACTTCTTCCCACCTCTTCTGTCACCACTCCAGTTCAAGCCTCCATCGCCCCTACCTTGGACAACTGCATAAGGCCTTGAATCAGTCTCCTTGCTTCTCCTTTTGCCCTCCCATGGTCTACTCTCCACATAGCAACCAGAGGAAGTTGCTCTGTTCATAAAATGTTCATAAAATGAAAGTTATACCAAGTCACTCCCCTGCTAACAACTTTTCAGTAGGTTCCCAAAACATTTAGTATAATGACCCAACTCCTGTGTAATCTGGTCCCTGTCTGCCCATTTGACCTCATCTCCTGTCGTGCTTTCATTGCCTACGCTGGCCTTGCTGTTGCTGCATCATACCAAGCTTATCCCCACATCACAGCCTTTGAACTGATGGTTCTTTTTGCCTAGAATTCTCTTGCCCCAGCTTCCTGCTTCTCATCATTCAAATCTTTGCTCAAATTTTTTCTCCTTACAAGGGCTTTCCCTGAACCCCCTACGAAAAGTAACACACCTATCTCCAAGCTGTTACTCTATTTTATTTTTCTTCTGGTACTTATCAGTATTTGACATTTTATTGATTTGTTATCTGCTTCCCCACTAGACTCTCTGCTCCTCAAGGCCAAGGACTTTGTTTCTCTTGTTCATAGCTCTATCCCGCTGCCTAGAACGGTGCCCAAAACCCAGTACATGTGGCAGAAACTAAGTTGTCTCACTCAGCTTTCATGACAAACCCCATTCAAGTTTAACTTCTTATAAAACTACATTTCCTAGTGTCTCTCACCACTCACGTTTTGCAGGAGACCTAGCTCCATCAAGCAGACATCCCTGCATGGGATTTGGAGGTGAGTAGTGAGGGGTGATGGCCATAATGAAGATCAGATTCGTAGGTGAATGTGGCGGCAAAGGCATCTGGTACTTTTGAGGCAGCCACCAGGGAAGTTTCTAGAATCTAGGACTTAACGTTCTAAGTGTCAAGTAGGGATAACAGTAGAGTTTTGCAGAGCAGTTCAGTGGTGTGGTTAGATGTGTCTCCTGGTTGCTCTGCTCCCAGCTGGGTAGTATCGAAGCCCAATTTTCTAACTTTTCTTGATACTCTTTATGTTTAATAAACTCTATGCTGCTTAAATTAGCTAAAGTGGATTTTCCAGTCTGCAACTAAGAAATCTGACTAATACAACATGTGCTCAACACATTTTTGTTAAATGAATGAACAAATGAAGTAGTAGATTAATTAGTTTCACCTAGGAAAGCAGTGCGATGGTCATTAGTATGGAATGAGATTTGAGGGAATTAAGTTTTAATTAAGTTTCCAATTAAGTAATTGGGAATGGAGTGGGCAATATGGCAGATGCAAGGTTGAGTGGCAAGGTGGTAGTATGGGGTGCTGAGCAGAGCTCCAGACCCTGAGAGCCAAGAAGACAAAGGGAATGTCTGCAACAGGCAAGGTAGGCCCAAATACCAAATACCAGACCAAACTGGGGTTGGTTTGACAAATGTGCAGAGAGAGTGGCATTATTGCTTATGAACCATCAATTAAATATCTCATAATTTTCTAAGTACTTTGAAGTTCTTTCATAAAACAAATGTCACTATTTTGTTTTCCTGCTCTAGGAAACAATATCGATATCTCTTCTATTCAACAGCTTTATTGACAACTTAGATGACATAAAGGAGAATATGTTTATTAAACTTCCTGTTGATATTAAATTAAATGGTATGCTAGTTAACTTGCTTTTGGTTGCAGTAACAGAAAAAATAACCCAAACTGGCTTTAATCATAGGGAAATTTATTGGCTCATGTAACTGTAACAGGAAAGGCTTTAGGTTCAAAATGACCCAAAAGGTCAGTGCTACCACCAAGGACTTAGTTTTTGCCCATATCTCTGCTCTATCTTCCATGTGGTAGAAGTCTGCCTCTCCTTAAGGCCCTAGGATGGCTGCCAAGTGCCTTGATGTTACATGCTTCCTTATTCATAACTGAGATGAGAAAGGGCCTTTCATCTCTAATCATTAAACAAAAGTCCTGAGTTTTGCTAAGGACCAACTTGGGTCATGGGCTCATCTCTGAACCAATCACTGTAGCCAGGAGAAAGACAGGCTCCAACTGGCTTAGACCAGGTAGGGTCTACTCCTGGAACTATGATGGGCTTCTGGCTGCTGCCCCTTGGAACGAATGTTGTAGAGGCAATCCCACTGTCCTTTCCAGAAAGAGTTCTAAATTTGTTAAAGAATTAAAATTCAAATGAGATTATGGATTAGAAAATATGGTCTTTAAAAATGGGGAAAGTGAAGGCAGTGCATGATAGAAGAAAGAACCCAGGACCGAGAGTCAGAATCCAGCTCCCCGACCTGCGTGACCTTAGGCCAATCTCTGAAATTTATTAGCCTCAGTTTTCTCACCTGCAAAAGTGGGACTTGAATGCTTGTCTATCTCCCAGAAATGTTTTAAAGATAAATATAGATTGTTTCTGGGATAGTTTTCAGTAAAACAAAGAGCACTCAGTGCTGTGGAGGGGTCTTTAGGCTGTTCTCTATGATCCCTTTGAGACGCGTTTTAGCCATATAAACCCAGTCCTAGGCCATTTCTTTAGAAGAAGACCCTGAGCAGGTGTCTTCTCAGCTCTAAAGGCGTTTAGGAATACAATAAGCCCAGACCCCTTGGAGCAGATACAAATCTTTAGAGTGACCCAGAAATGGCTGGTATACTTGGGAGAGAGGCAGAGGTAGATTATTCTTTGTGGGCTGCTTTGGGCTCCCTAAACTGGGCAGGAACCAAACGGTCTGAATGGCGCAGGTTAAGGAGGTGGTCTTACAACTTGGATTTGTTTTTTAAATGTTTACTTTCACTTTGGATTTCATGTATAAATACAAGAATGTTCCTGAAAGCATTCTTTAAGCGACAAACAGTGGAACCTCATATTATATTTATTATCTCCAAGTACCTAGAAACTATGCCTGAAATCAACAATTTGGCTTACTATACAATGAATTAAAGAGATTTTCTTTTAAAGAGCTCAGAAGTGCATGGAAAATTGACTTCTGAAAACTGACAAAGATTTGGAGTGGTTACAATGGACACTGGCACCATCAGTTTTTTCTCCTGAACACAACCATTCAGTGGAAGCCAAGTGGAAACTGAAACTCTGAAAGTCCCACTCATGTTGGACACTAGCTGAAGGTGACCCCAATTCTCGTGTCCGTAGAAGTAGAGAGCAAACACTCCATTCCAAGTGGTTTCTCATTTGATGTTTGGGCTGATAGCAACTGCTGGTCACACCAGGAGCACTTGGTGAGGCAAACGGTTAGAACAAGTATGCACATCCCCTTCCCTTTCCTCCATGGACTCGATTTCTGGGGTTGAGATGTACCCTGTTATTGTGGCTTAAAATGTTTTTGAGGAGACTTTTTGGAAAAAGTACTACACACACGAGGAGAACTCCAAAACCAACAAAACTCTGGCAAACAGAAAGTTATTTTCTTGTGAGCACAATAAGGTGCATTCAACTCAGAAAGGCTATACGTTGAGCAGGTGTAAGGTCTCACAATTATGGCCAGAAGGGCAGTTACAATTCTACAGGGAATTTCTGTAACCAGTGTGGGTCAATTACCATAAGAAAGGCTACCAAACTATTTTCTAGTCCATCTCCATCTCATATGTTGAAACTGAGACAGGGAGAATGTAATTAATTACTGACACTTACATGAATTTCTATTACGTACAGCATTTATCTTATTGTGTTGGAAGCACTTATTTAAATGCTTTGCTCTTTCACTGCATAACATGACAGCACAGACTATTTCTTAATCATATATTTAGCCCCAGTGCCTAACATAATTCATAGCACCCAGTGGATACTCAATCACAATTTGTTGAATGAATGAATGAATGAAGCTAATTAAACTAAATTGTGTTACACTTCCGGTCTGATTAGCCCCATAATAAAGTACTACATGAAGAAAATTTGTTTATAAAAGTCCTTGAATTCTGTTATTTCATTAACAGTATCTGCCCACTCTTTTTATTCTTATTGCCATGTATTCTTTGGTTCTCTCTTACTCATCTTTTTCTGTGCGAAATTCCAAAATTTCTCTACTACTCTCCTACTTTCTTTGTAGCAGCTACTCCTAGACTTACTCAACCTCACATACCCACGTCCACAAACTGCAGTTTCCATATCATGCTCTTCTTTGCTCTTATGCTAATCTTCTCCTCCTCGTCCCCTCCTCTCTCCATTATCTCATGCTGTAACCTCCGTGAAGACACTTGTCTATCAGTGTAAATAGATAACAACTGGAGTGAAGCAGTGGGTGAATAGGAAACAGATAAATTACGTTCAGAGAGCCAGAGGTCAATGACATGTGAATGTCACTGCGACCCTGGGTGAGTCGATTCCCCTGGCTGGCGCTAAGGGCTGACAGGCTCACAGTTCCCACTGGCTAACATGCTCTACCCCATCCTTGCCTGGCTCACTCCTACTCATTCTTCAGGTCTCTGCTTTATATCAGCCCCGAGAGAACCTTCATTAAGTCTCCCCACCTCAGTCTAAGTCTGACCCCCCAGTACAAGCTCTCCTCACCCCTCAGACTTTCTCTGCACAGCTGTCACCTGGATTACAGCCAGGTTCTTAATGATTACTTATTCAGTGCTTGTCTCCCTACACCAGACCATGAGACCTTTGGAGCAAGGACTGTTTCTATTTTGCTCAGCACTATGCTCCAGTGCCTAGCACAGTCTTCAGCACATTATAGTTCCTTATAAATATTTGTTAAATAAATAGTAATAATAAACTAATTATATAGAAAATCAAATGCCACATAGCCACCAAGACTACTCACATGAGGCTGATCTAAGGATTTTGAAGAGAAACATAGTGGGGAGAGGAACAGTTTTAATGACAAGTAGCAGCTTGCAAAGGTTGTGTAGAATGAAGAAAAAGAAAAGATTGGGGGCAGAATGTTTATCTTGAGTGATTACAATCGGTGGAAATTTTGATTCAACTGATGAATATAATCTTGTGCGAACAATGGGAATTAAAGCAAACAGTGCTACCATCTGACACAAGTAGGTATATTTCTTTAAAGTAAAGCACTTTGAATACAGTCCATTATGTTTTCATATCAATGTTTTATAAGTATCCTATTAAGTAAAAATCTCTCTTAAATAAAAGTACTACGTAGGGGCTGGCCTGGTGGAATAGTGGTTAAGTTTGCATGCTCCGCTTCGGCAGGCAGCCTGGGGTTCGCAGGTTCAGATCCCGGTCGCGGACATATGCACCACTTATCAAGCCATGCTGTGGCGGCGTCCCATATAAAATAGAGGAAGATGGGCATGGATGTTAGCCCATGGCCAATCTTCCTCAGCAAAAAAAAGGAGGATTGGCAACAGATGTTAGCTAAGGGCTAATCTTCCTCACACACACACACACACAAAAGTAGTATGTAATATTTGAGCAAGAAAGAGCTCAGGAATGTTGACTCTTGTCAGAAACACTAAGATGATCTGAACACCATGCAGGCCTTCATCGCTGGGCGCTGTGTTACTGGGATTTATTTGGTTAGGGCCTAACTGTGTACGCCTTGTTCAGAGAAAGCTCCCTTAGGTTTCTCTCAATCTGCTTTTTCAGCCAACTTGACCATTAGAAAGCACTTAACATCAAGACAACATCAGTCTCAAAAGGGTTCATTAGGCAGTTAAAAAAAGGTTTGTTGTTTTTTTTTTCTCAAGTCTTTTAGCCTCTAATATTCATTAACAAGTCTTTCTGGCTTGCCAATATTCTCTGTATTTCTCCACTTCAGTTTTTGATCATGTTTTTAGAATTTGGAAGCAGTTGCCATCTTTAACATTCAACTCACAGCACATACTCACAGTGCTGAAAGGAACTTGAGAAATCATCTAATTCAGTCCACTCATTTTAAGGTTGAGAATTTTTCTGGAAGATTTATTTAGCTAAATTCAGATGAGTTTTCTCTGCCCTTGGAGTCAAATTCAGAAATTAAAAATAGAGCACATACTAGGGTAGGTTGTAGTAAACTTGGGGTAGGGTAGCGAGGGGAAGCTAAGGCAAAGCAAAACATTACAAGGTCAAAATTACTAGATGAAGTCACCAGAAGCCGTAAAGATACTGGTCATCTCTAAATTATGTTCCCATAGCCAATCTACTAGCCTGAAAAAATAGGCCCTGAGAGGGCATTTATAATCTATATTCACACCCACTACAAATTTTACGATAAAACAATACAATATAGTGAAAAAAAGCAAAGACTTTGGAGCCAAGCAATTCTAGATTCAAATCCTCATCTCACCACTAGCTGGTAATCTTTGGAAGGCCTCAGGAAGATCTGAGTTTTAAAATCTATAAGATGGGGACAATAATGAACACCTGTAGTCTAGAGCTGTTGTGAGGTTTAAATGCAATGGTGTATACAACATACTAGTAGCTACACCCATGTTCATTGCATTATTATTCACAATAGCCAAAAGGTAGAAACAACCCAAGTATCCATCAATGGATGAATGGATAAACAAAATTAGTATATACATACAATGGAATATTATTTAGCCTTAAAAAGAAATGAAATTCTGACACATGCTACAACATAGATGGACCTTGAAAACATTATGCTAAGTAAAATAAGCCAGACAGAAAAGGACAAATATTATATGATTTCACTTACATGAGTACGTAGAATAGGCAAATTCATAGAGACAGAAAGTAGAATAGAGGTTACCAGGTGATGGGACCATAGGGAAATGGGGAGTTGTTGTTTATTGGGTACAGAGTTTCTGTTTGGGATTATGCAAGAGTTCTGGAAACGGATGGTGGTGACGGTTGCACAACAATGAAAATGTACTCAATGCCACTGAATTGTACACTTAAAACTGATTAAAATGGTAAAGTTTATGTTATGTATATTTTACCACAATAAAAGAAGAAAAGAAACACAACACAACAAAACTGCTAGTAGAATGCCTAATGTAAAGTACATGGGCAACAAATGGTAGGTATAGTTACATCCCATTCTGCCCATTTTACCTGCTCTAAGTAATGCAGTGACAAGTTGATATACTTGGCCTCTGTTAGAAGTTGGCCCCCTACTCCAGTCTTTGCAACGCGCTCTGAACCAGCCAGGTCAACCAAATGAAGTTTGGCATGTCGAACAGTTGCAGATCCTGGTTCTTTGCTCGATAAGTGAATAGTGAAAATGCAGTGGGAACGAGTTGAAGCTTGGTTCATAGGAGTCTATAAAAAAGAAAATCGCAAAACAAAAATAATGTGAAAAACAAGAATTTTTGAAGAATATCAACAAATTTAAATTTACATTTCTAATGATAAGACATTTCCCATGAAGCCAACGCTGTCAAACGGAGCAAAAACACTTGGAGCTGAGACCCTTAAAGTGAGTTATTTTTAATGTATTACCTTTTAAATGACCGTTAACAGATGTGGATGGGTTGATTCAGAAAGTGAGAAAACAGTTCAAATGAGGTAAAGCTTGGGTCCTCTTACCAATATGGTAACTTTATTTCATTATAGAACCACAATCCATACCTTAACCTTGGCTAGCCAGACTAAAAATGCTTAATGTGAATGTCACGGGAAAAGAGGTGACAATGGGTGCATTGAGAGAATTCATTACACAAATGTAAACACAACCCACAGACAAGGAGGCTTAGCATCACTACTACTACCCAACACTGAACAGGAGGTTCCAGCCGATGTAATAAACAAGAAAAAGAAATACAAGGCATATTGATAGGAAAAGGAGAGATTAAAATGTCATTATGTACAGAAAATATGGTGGTTTACATAGAAAATGCAAGAGCATCTACAAAGAAACAATTAAAAACTAAAAAGTTTAGCAAGGTTGCTGGATGCAAGATCAACATGCCAAATCAAGGAAGTTCTAATAACCCAGCAACAATTAATCAGGAAATATAACATTATTCATAGTGGCAACAAAGACAATGAGATAGGGGCTGGCCCGGTGGCGCAGTGGTTAAGTTCATGTGTTCTGCTTTCACGGCCCAGGGTCCACCGGTTCGGATCCTGGGCACAGACCTGCTCACTGCTTATCAAGCCATGCTGAGGAAGTGTCCCACATAGAAGAGCTACAACTCTACAACTAGGATATACAACTATGTACCAGGGCTTTGTGGAGAAAAAAGAAAAAGAGGAAGATTGGCAACGGATGTTAGTGCAGGGCCAATCTTCCTCAAAAAAAAAAAAAAGAAGAAGAAGAAAAAGACAATGAGATAATAAGGAATTAATCTAATAAAAGATGTGTAATTTGTAGGGAAAATGACAAAATAATATTAAAGGATACAGAAAGAAAACCTGAATAAATGGTGTCCTAGATACTAATAAACCATTTTACAGATAGGAAAACTCAAAATTAATCTATATGTTAATCTATATATTCAATGCAATTGCAATAAAATTGCCACAGGTTTTGTTTGTGGAACAGAACCAACAAATTGATTCTAAAAATCAGATGGAAGAGAAAATATTGAAAAATAAAAAACAATTCTACGAAGAAGAACAAGGAAAGGGGACTTGTCCTGCTATGTATCAAGGTATATTGTCCTGCTATGTATCAAGGTATATTGTAATGCCATACTAATTAAAACAGTGTGGTATTGGTGCAGAAACAGATAACTAGATCAGTAAAACATGTTGTGCTCATTTAGGAACTCTGAATAGGATAGAGGTGACAACACACCACAGAGGAGAGAGGGTGGACTAATTAATAAATGGTGCTGGAATAACTGGCTACCCATCTTGAAAAAAATAAATTTAGATTGCTTCCTCACACTATATACACAAATAAATTCCAGACTGTATTAAAGACTTATGTATAAAATAACACAATTTCAACACTAATATAAGAAAACATGAAAGCATATCATAGTCAACCCAGGGTAGTAATAGATATTTTATGATAAGACATAAAACACAAAAATGAACTGATTTAAAATATTTGACCAAACAATACAAAATTAAAGAACTTCTGTGCGATAAAACCCACCATAAAGTTCAAAGACTGGGAGACCATATTTGTAATACATATGTCTGACAAAAGATTAATATATGAAATAAAGAACTCCCACAAATCAATAAGAAAAAGACAAACAACCCAGAAAAAAAATGGACAAAGAATATGAACAGGCAACTCATAAAGAGAAACCTGAAAATGGTCAATAAGTATTTGAAAAAAATGCTCAGACTCACAAATAATCAGGACAAATAATTAGAGCCATAATAATGGACTATCATTCACATCCATCAGACTGACAAAAATTAAAAAATAAAGTCTAACAAAACAAGTGTTTGTAAGGATATAAGAAAATGGAAACTTGTATGTACTGCTGGTGGGAATATAAATTAAGAACATTTTCTGAGAGCAATTTGACAATATGTGGTAAAGTTGCAAATACACGTAACCCAGAACCCAGCATTAGATTACTAGGTCTATTTCCTAGAGTGAAATCTGGGACAGGTACAGACAGAGAGAAAGAGAGACACACACACACACATATGGACATTCACTGCAATGTTGTTTGGGATAGCAAGAAATTGGTGCAAGATGTACAACTTAAATGAACATCTGTGATGGAAAAGATGAATATACTGGGATAATTCAAACTATAGAGAAGTTAAAATGAAGCACTTTTTGGATAGATTGACGTAGATAGATTTCTAAAATGTTGAGGAGAAATAGCATGTTAAAGAAGGATATAAACACTATCATAGAACTTAGATAATTAAAAAAGCAATGTTACCTAAAAATATTCATTCATAGTGCTATAACTTATTAGGTCATTAAAGGTATAAAAATATGGACTGGAAAGATACAGCAAATTGATGACAGTGGCTGCCTTTGTGAGGGATGCAAGCAAAGGGCAGCAAGGGACTTCAACTTTATCTGTAATATCCTGTATCTTTTATTTAAAAATTATCAGAAGCAAATTCTGATATCTAAAAATATCTAAAAATAAAAGTTATCTAAAAATATTCCAAATGAATGTTCATATGAGTAAATGTGTTCAGATCTCCTCCTTTGCAAAATGCGATTCAATGAAAGAATTTCTATATGGATGCACATGTATTCGGATAGGGTAACACATTTGGATGGTGTTTCAACCAGAAATTCTTTCTGTAAATATAAATTCTTGATATACACCATTGTTGATTTACACCAACTACCAAAATACACAGATGTCAAAATACTGGCATAGTTTTGGTGATGATGTAGCTAGTGAGCTAAATAGGCTGAAAATTTGACCCATTACTTGTTGCCACAATAACTATACCCAGATCAAGCCAGTGTGTGATTTTGCATGCTAAAGTGGATCAGCAAATAACTGTGCATGTAAAACCGCAAGCTCAAATTTAGAACCTAAGTTGAGGTGTTTTGAAAGCGACTGTAAGTTATTTGCAGAACTTAAACATGGGTTTCATTTCACTGTTATATTCGCACAACAATAAATCCTACAGTACTGTAATGAAAGTCAAATTCACAATCGATATAAACGAATAACATAGAGACTATTCCCAACAGCTGTCTTCAGCTTCTAAATTGATATACTGAAATCACAGTAAAATGTGTACCATTAGCGAATGTTGGAAAAGTGTATCCATTTCAAAGGAACGTGAGATTTACATCAAATTAAATTGCATTTCTGGAGTCTGTAATTAAAATGCAGTAATACGCTGCAGGAGTCCATGCCTACAATTTTGTAACTTCTCATAAATATTTTCTGCATGAAGTAGTAGTTGGTGTCCTCTTAGCTAAAATTTCCTTAAACCTCAGAAAACATTCTTTATGTGTAGCTGCTTAAGTGTGATTGAATGTGCCGGTGTCTGCTCTGTGTTTATTTAAGGACGTCTTTTTGTCTCACAGGCATGCTCCTACGTTTGTCCTTTCAAAGGTAAAACTGTATTAAAACATTTCTGAAACTGCCTAAGAACAGATGGCACCATTTAGGCAGATTCATTCAAATTTAAGCACACATTTTAAACAAATGTGCTCTTGGCACTAGAGACTGTGTCTTTGGAAAAATTCTAGCGATGATTAATCATCCGCGTGTAGAAAGCTTTCACATTTCCTATTAGTCTGTGTGTACGGCTCTGCATTAGGCAGTACAGAGACTAGGAGGAAAATGAGACATGGACTTTGCCCTCAAGGAATTTATAACCTAGTTCAGGAGCTAAAGACAAAACATGTGAAATGAGAGTGAACGATGAGTAAAAGGCAAACGTGCGGTCAAGCAAGTGATCTGTTCTCAGCACTGAGTATCCTGATGCTCTAGGTAACACCTAAGAATGCTAACCATTCCTTCATCAGGGAAGCTCTCCACCTCCTGCCATTCCCAGGTCTCTAGAGTCACACACTCTCCTGGTACTTTCTCACTAATTGCTCTGTCTCCTTTTCTTCTATTGGACTCTTTTCTCTCCAGTCCCTAAAACAGGCACCTCCCAAGCTATGGCCATCATATTTCTTCCCCTTGGGGAACTCTTCTACAGCTCTGATTCTCATTGGATAGGCACTGTAGTGTAGTTAAAAATCACACCCCATAAATCTTAGCATTTGGTATCAGATGACCTGGTTTCAAGTCCTGGTTCCATCACTTACTAGTGGCGAAATTTTAACCAAACTTACATAAAGTAATTTTGGTTTTTTGTGTCTTTAAAATGCCATAATAAGACTTGCTTTGCTGCAAAGAGTTATCCTAAATACCAATTGAGTTACTGAGTGTTGAAGTGGTCCATGAACTGTAAAAGGTCATATAAATGTCCATCACTGTTGATATTCACTCTATTCAGATACCCCTCCCATGTCGTTATTTCCAACCACAATTTCTCTGTGCACCAGGTTAGAATGTCCAGGAGTTCGATTGATAATTGTCACTAAAACGTCTTGCCGGCATCTTGACCCTAATGTTCCCCCAAACAACCTCATCCCTTTCCCTCACTCTGTGTCCCATGAATGCATATGCAATCCATCCTATTCCTGTTGAATTTACCTCTACTTCTCTCATCTCCAAATATCCTTTACCTCTCACCCGCGTTACCACATTGTCTCCTTACTAGTCTCCCCATATTTACTCTTGTCTCCTCCAATTTTTCTCCACCTTGCAGACAGAGTAATGTTTTTAAAAGACATATTTGATTATGTCAATCCTACGTATATCCCTGAATTAAACTAGCAGGCTCCCTAAGACTAAATATCTCTAGTTCCC